GCGCCGACGAAACAAAACAACGAAAAAGACTTACCACCAGTCAGTCAGTCAGTCCAACAACACTCAAAAGACCCAGACCAGCCAGATCTTACACAGAAGAAGAAGGGGAAAACGTCGACGATGACGACCACGACTACGATGACGATGTTGTTGCCTTCGCTTCAACTCAAATCGATGCGCTCTCTCTCTCTCAGTGTGCCTTAGGTCCACCACTACACACTACACCACCTGACACACACATAAGCGCACACACACGACGGAGGGGCATACTACTACTCCCCGACGAGTCTTAGTCTCTACAGTCGTCCTCTTTCTCTTTCCCCTCGTGATACTACCACCACCACTGCTAGTTTGCTAGGCCTAGCTAGATAGCTAGCTCTAGCCCGTCCACATTATATTATAACAACGTACTCCAAAAAAGCTCTCCCGATACCAAACGAAACGCGTCTGGCCAGGCCCAGGAGGAATAGAGAAATATCTAACTTCACCAACACAAGCGCGGTATACAGAGAGAGAGAGGGAGCTACCAGCTAGCTACAGAGGCCCCCGACTTCTCTCCTCTACATAATTTTACTTTACCACACACTACAACACTGGGTGAGAGGAGGAGGGTAGGGTAGAAGGAGGAAGAGGGAGGAAGGAAGGCAGGCAGGCAGGCAGGCAGGCAGGCAGGCCTAGCTAGGCGCATACACACACACAGAGAGACACACACACAGAGGAGGGAGGGAGAGAGAGAGAGATCTCGAGCGAGACAGCAAGCTATGGCCAAGCTAGCAAAGCAAGCCGCTGTAGCCCTCCACATTGGAGAAGTATTGGACTGAAACCAAGCTCTATTATCACCTGGGTCGACCCACTATGTTGTATGCGCAGGCAGGCAGGCCCAGCCAGCCAGACACTCCACACACACGTTACAGGCTAGAGAGCCGGACACGTGCTCGATCCACACATACACACACTGGCTTGAGGGCGAAAACGCGAAGTCGCACTGCGATTACCCCTACAGAACCCACGTAGTGGAGACAAGTATCGAACTATTCTGTCGAGAATCGATTACCAACCACAAAGACCCGCAGTCGAAAGAGAAAGAAAAAAGCGGTAAGCCAACACGGGCCCTCAGAACCTGTGTACAATTTCAATTTTCACAAGTAGTCAATATGTAACAACCTAGGAGACAATTTATAGAGCGAAACAAACAAACAACTATTCACTTGAACGGAAAATTGCGAAAGGAAGCTACAGAGAAAGGGAGGACCCGCCATGTCCGGACCAGCAGCCCCTCATCGCTCAACACGGCAGGGATAAAGAGAAAAACTAGCTTGCAAGCTCGAGCTTGGGTTCTCTGGGAGGGTTTGTGTTGTTCAGCGCTGGCTCGAGAGACGAGAATACGAGATCTTCCTCCTCCTCCTCCTCAACTCCATTAGCAATCCTCCTCACCACCACCTTCCTCCTCCCCTCACCACCTCCCTCCCTACACTTCTCTTACCTATCTTCCCCATTATCTTTATCCTTGCTGTTTCTATCTTATTCAAACTCTCCCATTAAAAATTCATCCCTCCCCGCCCCCGAAATAAAAAGAAAAGACAAGAAAATAATACACACATCGCATATCATTATGCAACGTGTATTCGGTTTACCGGAGCTGAAATAACATACATTCACACAATAATAATATAAGGACTTTTTGACATTTTGAAAAACACAAACTAGATCTAGAAATAATAAAATTTCTCACAGCCAGCCCCACAAATCACCCACAAGCAGAAATCATGAAACGCTGATGAATATAGAAACTTGATATCTCATAAACAATCATCGCTCAGTTGGTTTTCTCGGTGATTTGGTTTGTTTTGTTCGGGAGGGATTTTTTTTGTGCGAGCATATATATATTTTCTCTCTCGGTAGGTCTGCTGTATTCTTTTTCACGACTAAACAGCCTGATCAGACGTACGTTATCATGTATGAAACTCACCCACCAATCAACTAACAATACTGTGTGAGTGGTTGGCGGGTGCTCTGGTGTGGTTTGCTCATTCTTTTTTCCTATATCAAACATGTATCGCCCTTATCTCTCCTCCTTTTTTGTATGTTTATTACTCCCTTGCAACACCTCTAATCTTCGGCATTTCTTGATATGACTTAA